TAGTTTCTCAGGGATCACATCATGGAACTCTCTCAATAGATTATCAATCTCAGGCAAAAGATCATCATTCGATTCCACATAACTCTAAAAAATATTTTGACAACTAGAGCTACTACCACTACGCCAGACTTTTTTTTCTCTTTTTCAAATTCTCTGTTGGTCAAGATGTGAAGGTCTTTCTTGTGAATTGTCTGGGAGGATGACCTATGCTTTGAATTATTACCTTCTGAGGGTTTTGTAGGTTTCAACTTGATGGTTTTCCCTTTGTGCTTAAAAACATAGGTATTGTCCCTCCCATAGTTTATCACATCTAGATCAAAAAGTCATGGGCGACCTAACAAGACATGAGCGACATACATGGATAAGACATTACACCATATATGATTTGAATAGTCACCCATCTAAATAGGGACCAAACATCTTTGCGAAACCGGCAAAGAAGTCTTGTCAACCCATGCAACCTTGTAAGATTGTGGGTGACTCTGGCTTAAGCTGCAACTGAGCTACAACCGATTTAGAGATGACATTTAATGAACTTACCCCATCAATGATGACCTTGCAAACTTGACCCCCACATTGGGCTAAAGTATGAAAAATGTTAGTGCGTTTCCATGCTTCTATGCCTAAAGGGGTGGATAAGATGCATCTCATAACACTGACACGGGTTTCATCGTTCTGCCATTCTTCCTCACCTTCATCTAGTAAATCTAGGAGTTCCTCATCTAAAGGATCAACTTCTTGGTCAACATCCTCCCCATCAAGTGAATTTCCTAACCCCTAGTCAATGTTCAAGGTAGGCTGAGGGCACTATGAAGTAATATGACCCTTGTCATGACAACGGAGACACTCTATGGAAGAACTATCCTGGTGAGAACCCGGGACTATTAAGTCTCGACCCCTAGTGGCATTACCTCTCGAGTTGGGGTAAATGTTACCCCTGGATGTAATAGGCCCTGACTGGGAAACGCCTCAAGAGTTATCAAATGGGACTAACCACAATGATTGAGACTCTCCAATTAGAGAAGGCATACGAAGTTGAAAGGGTGGCCTAAGGTATTTTTCAATCTCTAAGGCTTTATAATATGCTTCCTCAACCGTTTTAGAAAAGTGTAAAAGTTAATCTCTCTCTTAATCTAAAGTCTCAAACTATTAATGAATTTTGTAACTGTTACCCAAGGCTCTTCCTTTATGTCACATCTCATAAAGAGCTCTTCAAATCTAGCTAGGTAATCAGTCACACTCGAGGTCAATTGATGTAAGTTCATCCACTTGTCCAAGAATTGGCACTTATAGGAACAAGGGAGATATTTATCTCGCAATCTTTGTTTCATCTCAGCCCATAAGTAATGGGTTATCCCTCTAAGCACCCTTAGTCTCGTTGGACTCCCTGCCAATATCTCTTAACTGAACTAACGAGTTTTATTTTGGCAAAACGAATCCGATGGTCGTCAGACTAGGAAGCACGGATACTCATTGGGGGGTCGCCGTGGAAGTGTTGGACACGTATCCAACACGGATATGCGTGTCCGGTGGTCGAACACGTGTTTGACACTTGTAGAAGTGTCCTGAACAGTGGTAAAGTTTTTTTTTAGTTGGATACGTTTCGGACACAGCAGGGTACTTTTTGTTATTTTAAAAACTTAGGGGGCCGAAACCAAAAAATAAAAAATAAAAAAGCCAAACTAAGTCGTTTGGCTTGAAAAATAAAAAACAAAAGGGAAAAAACCATCGTGAAGCTTTGACAATCGACATTCAATGTGTTCGAGAGAGAGAGAGAAGAGAAGAGGAGATTGATCGAGAACCAGAGTAAGAGAAGGAGAGGGAAGAGGAAGGGAGACTAACTTACGACTGCGATTGCAATCTGGACCTGGCGACCTGCGATTACTGCCTAGTCTTGCAGGTTCTTTTTGCTTCAATTTTCTTTTCTTTTTTAAGATTTGCTACTAATTGCTCTTACTTCTTCTGGTCTATGTGGAGTCTGAACTTTTAAAAAATTTGATTAAGTTAGGGTTTTAGGGTTTTCAAAATTTAAAAATTTTTTGTTGTTGTTATTGTGCTATTGTTTTTCTTTGTCTTCTTGTTGTGTTGCTGCCTTGAGGATTTTTTTTTGGTCTGGTGTTATGTTTGCTTGCTAGTTGTTGCCTTCGGGATTTTTTTTTTTTGATTTTGGTCATCTGTGTATCTGTGTTGCTTTACTGCCTTCTGTACTAGTGTCATGCTACCTGCTGATTTTAAATACTGAAAATTGTGTTCTTAGCTAGCTTCTATCTTCTCTTTTTTGTTATGCTGCTATGTTTTTTTTTTGGTCATCTATACTGCTGTCTTTTGTGCTAGTGTGCTGCTACCTGTTGGTTTTTGAATCTTTGATCTATTTCAATTTAAGTAATGTTTGTTATGTCTTGGTTGTTTGTTATTATTAATATAGTTGTTATACATATAAAAATATATATTTTTTAATTAGTCGTATCCTCGCCGTATCCATGTCTTATATGTTGAAATTTTTCCGTATTGCCGTGTCTGTATCGTATCAGATACGACACCCGTGTCCATATCCGTGCTTCTTAGTCATCAGACATATCATACCAATCAAAATAGTCATCCATTTCATCCAATCAATCTAAGAAAACAATAGGATCTAACCTATCATCAAAACTAAGAGCATCCACTTTGACTCTTTGTGTGATATCCCTAGATTCTTCATGGATAAACTTATGTCGAGGAGTGTGGTAACGCGGAAGGGGAGGCCTATGATATCTGACACGTGGTTGAAAGGGCTCACAATAACCATCCATATCACCCTCTGCCGAATAGTCAAACATGACTATCTCAGCAGGATTCTCCTAAAAATTCCTACGACCTACGTTTTGTTCAAAAAACGGTATTAGGAGATGGCCTCCTATCTGGACACTGAACTCGGCTCCCCTGAGCTACTTGCAGAATGGATAGGACACCTTAACATGAGTCAGTAGGATCTGTCGGGAATGACAGGTGCCTAACATGTGTGCCTGTCTAAACTTAGTGAAACTGTTGACTCCCTCTAGCCATACTCTATTGGTCCTTTGTCAATAAACTTAGTCAATTGGGCTAGTTGAGTAGTAACTTGAGAAAGTAGTTGCCCAATTCCTTTAACTTCCTCACATAACAAGTCGACTGATTTTTAGTGTCGGTCATATCAATGGTGAGGGTCTCAAATTTTTGTCAATTTTTTGGACAAATGTAAAATGCCGACTAGACTAAAAATTAAACCAAGTAATAAAAACTATAAATCAATTCAAGCTTATTGTGAAGAGACTCAAATAAACGTGACACAAATAACAATGGGTTTAACAAGGAATTGGGCAAGCTAAGTTATGAAGGTTGTGTGTGGGAAAAACAAACAAAAAAAGTTTAGGTAAGATTTCTTTTTGTTTTTTTTTTGATTGACTTACCAACAAATATAAATACTAGTCACCAATTCTCAACGAAGAAAACTCGTACTTGATATTAAATATAACTCCAGGAGGCTACTTGACAATTTAGAGGATGATCCTACAAATTCTGAAACTTTCTGGGGTGTTTCTGTAATTTCTAAAATTTTGGGGGTAATGTTTCTGCAATTTTTTGAATCTGCCGGGGATGTTTCTACAATTCTGGAGCTCCTGGATGATATTTCTGCAAGTTGCTGAAACTTATAGGGGTAATTTTGCAATTTTTTGGACTTTTTGGGGATGTTTCTGCAATTCTAGAAATTTTTCGGGTGTTTTTCTTGTAGTTCCTGGATCTTTCGGGGTTGTTGCTAATAAACTTGTGAACAATGGATCAAAATTTTATCCACCAGGCTGTCTTTTCTTTAAAGTTGATGACGGATTTACAGGAGAAGAGAGAGAGGGTTTCCAAAATTGATGAGAACCTGGGTAAGGGTGGAGTTTGTTACGGCTACAGTGACGACGATGACACACCCAAACAATGATGGAACGAGACCAAAACGAAAAAAACACGCATGATAAACAATTTTTTTTTTCTCCGGTTGCATAAGGCTATAATTTCTGGATTGTGTTTTTTTTTTTTTTTAACTGGACAGTGAAAGATTGGTAGCGATGAACAGTATCGCCGCTGAACAGTGCCGCGATGAACAGTGCACGCAATGAACAGTGATTTTTGCGATTTGTACGAATCAAAATTGAGTTCTGATATCAAATTGATGTAGACTATGAAGGGAAGAATTAGGGATGAAAAGAGAAAAAGAATTAGGGATGAGAGAAAAAAAAAAAATTGAAAAGGAAGCAATATCAGTATTCAACAATAATTAAAGTCTGCCAAAACAAATATCATATTCCCTATATACATAAGGAGAGCACAAACCCTAAAAGAAATAAATAGTCAAAATGACAACTAAACTCTTGAAAAGAAAAATGACAAATAACTCACAATTCCTACGTCTACGCCTACTATAACGAAATATAATCTGATTCCTATCGGCAATGACACAGATCCAAATATCCAATGAAAAATAAAGAAAACAATTCCAGAAAAATAAAAATCAGCCAAAAATCCTAGATCCAAAAAACTGCAACTTCTATGTCACTGGTTAAACAATATCTGGTCATTGTTCACCAGCCATTAGAATTTGTCCATGCGTACATGTAATTTAGAATATGAAACATACAAATCAGAACCAATATTTTTTTCCAGTAAGTGAATCAGCACCAATATTGAAACTAAGGTACAAGGTCAATGAGTTATTTGTAAGTTGAAATTAGGCATACCCGATTCCCTGTTGTATTTCATAGTAATATTAAGTTCGTTAATACCAACAGCAGCGGCTATAACAGTGAACAATAAAAGCTCATATCTGGTGATTTCTCCCTTTATAGTGCAATAGCATTGTGATAATCTTAATTATTGTTACAACACCACCACAATTCCTATAAGCCAAAGCAGGTTCAAGAGAGATTTTCTGTCAAGGGCAGCAAACTAATAAGAAAGGCACTAATCTTAATGGTAAAAAATCCAATTCATACCTTTCCAGTTATCATGGTGTACATGTTGAGTACATCCACAACAGTGGACTCAAAGTGCGTGGTGGCATCATAACTCTGTTGAATGGGAAAGATAATTACACATACATACTAGTGAAAGCTACGTTAAAAAACAGTGTTTCAGAATGGCATGTAAAAGAAACTCACAGTCGATATAAAACAATTATCCAGAGAAGGCTCATTGACTGGTTCATATCTGTCACAAAAATCAAAGAATATCTCATCCACAGGCCCCAGAAGATCAATTCCTGGCTTTAGTTCAACCTCTGGATGATCAGTCTCTGCCTCTGTCGAAACAAATGCTATAAACTTCCCCTTGGGGGCAACATTGTGCGAGTAAGAGCAACAAAAAAGATACCTGCAAACCCGCATGGTCACAATGTAAGATAAATAATTAGTTGCATCCTAGGAAGCACAGACACAGACATGGGTGTCGTATCTAATATGATACGGACACGGGGATACAACAAAGTTCAAAAATATTGGACACATATACGACAAGGAAACAATAATTTAATATATTTTTTAGATAATAATAGAATTATAATATATTAAAAACTAAGCATATCTAATAACAATATTAACAATAAGATCTATCAAATATTAATTTTTTGATTAAAATTGAAATAAATCAAAATAAACATCCACCATTTTTATCAAACATCATTACATCCATGAACATTCATAGTACATAAGTTACATAATAAAAAACACAAAAAAAATTAAAAAAATCAGGCGTCTTAATAGTTAACAGTTGTCTTTTATTAAATCCTGGTCCTGTCTTGACAATGTCGTAGTCATGTCCTTGATGTGTCCGGCCCACTTCACTATTCAAGATACTCTAATCATGTCGTGCAGGTGTCCGACACGTGTCCCTGTCAGACACATGTCCAACACTGCCACGGCACCACTCAAAAAGTATCCGTGCTTCCTAGGTGGAATCTAAAATCCCAAAAGTTGGACATCCTATATCCAGATACCATGTTAAACAACTAAAACTGACCGGCAGAATGGATAACTAACCAGTTCATATCTGAAATCTACAATGTTGCAGGTTAATAATTATTTCGATACCAAGTTAAAACATTGAAACTAAATAGAGGAATGCCGTCCAGAATTAACAGGAGGAATGCCACAAACAGTATAGAAACTGCAGGCAGGACAACCAAGATGATGCTGTTCAAAAGCCTAACACTCTAACATTCAGTTATCCTCTTTTCCTGTGGGAACTCATCCGATTATTTTTCTGAAGTTCAAGCAATCCAGAAACTGAACCTGATAAGTTCCTATAGATGAAGCCAGCAGATATTTGGCCTGGTTTTCTCATATGTTGTAAGGGCATTATAGATATGAAGTAAGGAACACTGATTATTTTTCTAAAGTTCAAGCAATCCAGAAACTGAAGCTGATAAGTTCCTACAGATAAGGCCAGCAGATATTTGGCCTGGTTTTCACATATGTTGTAAGGTCATTATAGATATGAAGTAAGGAACACCCTCCAAAGAACTAAACAGATAAATAAGGGAAAATGCGGGCTTATAAAAAGATAGATATAGGTGGAACATCCACCTCAAACCCCCTTCCACTGCCAACCAAAGGACAACGACAAAGTACCCAAAAAAATGTCGGAGCTCTCTCATATAATATAGATAAGCCATATCACACTTTGGCAATCCCAGTGAAACAACACCATTTCCCTCTGTTTTAATTGCATGTCACAACTTAATGAAGTTAAGCACTTCTCTCCAAGTTAATGCTAAAAAGACTTGAGATTCAAAAGAAAAAAGGTGGGTTGGGTGCGAGGGTTCAGTGTTTCCTTTAAAGACCAATAAGACTCCAATTTTACCCAACAGAAATGTAGGTCATATATCTTAACCAAAATTATCGCCAAGACCAACATGAAAATACTATTGAATAGATACACAGTCATCTACAGGAATTAAAAAACCGTGGTTTAGATAAATATAACTAAATGATATGACTTCTCCAAGGAAGAAAAAGGACACAATGAACTCATTCCAAATACAATGCATGACTTGTTTGAGGTTCTATTGCTGATCTGAGGGCAACATAATCATTCATTCCAATCAAATAACAGAAACCAAGTTAGAAATTCAACAACTGGTTAATCCTTTGATCAATCATTGTAACCTTAAACCTATTGTTCTTCCTTACTCTACTCCCTATGGAAAAAGTTAATGATCTGATCACTTTTTTCTTACCATTCTGCATATAAATTACTCTATTTCAATTGCTCATCTTCATCACAAATAAAATTGTAGAATCCCAAGATAATAGGTGAAGTGTTTCTCTTGTTACAATCAGTTGATTGTTTTTGCTTTTCAATGTTTCCAAAACAGGAATATGTCGATAAGAAACTACTCAGAAACATGTTATTTAAGCGGGCAGGCCTGGCCGGCTGTCAACGGGGATTCTGTGAAATAGGAACTCAACAGAAACCTCAGCCTGAGATAGAAAATCTAAATTAAATAGGTAATTCATATTCAAGGAAGACAACATATAAACAAATATATAGGGTAAAATTCCCTGTATAAATTATATATCACAAAGACATCGAAAAACTCACATATCTGATTTGCGACCCAATTGCTTCTGTGGCAGAATAACCTGCACTGAGTGGGAATCATTGGTATTTGGGATTGGGTGGCTCATAATGCAAATTGCCCTTGCGACCCTGCCAACTTTCCTAACCTGTTACACACCATGCTTCACATTACTCTTGCCAAAGTAACACTTGAATGATCGGGTCAAAAAAAATTTATAGGAGATATTTTTCCTTTTCCATATTTAAAAGCCTGCAGAATTATAAAATAAGCTGATCTGTCAATACACATGACCATACTTCCCAGAGCTTACGGATCTTTATTCAAACGGGTGCAAGCCCAAATGCTATTGCACAAGCCCAATCGACAAAGAAGCTTCAACACTGATAAAGTCAAGCACCAGCTGAAAGGCTGAATAAAATGTAGGCAATGAAAAAATTACCTTGTTGGGCAGATAGGAAGGATCACATACAACTTTCTTGCAACGAGCAGTCTCGCCTTCTGACATCACACCAATGACCTTGCCTTCCTCATTAAACTCTACCTGGCATTTATGCAAAGATCAAATTCCATGTCAATCCTCAAACCAGAAATTTACCTACATGCATTCCTAATCTAATCCAAAATTAAGATAAGTGCAAAGCAGGGTTAAAATGAACATCAAAACATTTTTATTATCTCTTAGTTTGTCTTCTTGTGGACAAGGGAATGCCATACCTTGCATTCAGGTTTATTCAACATGTACGTCCCACCATAAACAGCACTGAGCCGAGCAAAGGCCTGAATGAAACAAAAAAATAAACTTGAAGTAAATGGACAAATAATCATAACATCACCAACACTTCACCAAAAGAAAAGGCACAAGAAGCAAACATATAGAGCAGAGAATACAAAATAGAGACTGCAAAAAGAAGAGAAGAGGGAAGAAAGGAAGAAACAAAACATAGAGGGAAATAGGGAATAGTTAAGGGGAGAACCTGAGGGAGCTCTCCTAATCCATATAAAGGGTAAATATATGGCGATCCTCCTTGAAAACGTGCAAGAGACTCCGCATAAAGCTATCACATGAGAAGAAGCACATGTTTTCAGAAGAGGCCCCAAGAAGTTAAGACTTTGTTTGAGAATACAAAACCAAGCAGAATGACATAAATGGATCATATGCACTCTCACCTTCATTCGCTTCACAGTGTCCAATGCAGGTTCATGTAAGTAGTGGTCATCCCTGTGAAGGGCCAATGCGTGCCCAATGAAGTCCACAGTGTTGTCATCAAGTCCATATTTTCTGTCAGAAAGTCAATGGTATATAAGCATAATGCACTTTGAGTGCTGAAAATCAGGTTATGTTAAATATAACTCAAATTGCAAGCAGGTCAGGTCATTGTACACATTTTTTTCTCTGCACATATCAAGAAAATAAAAGGTTAAACACTTACATATATTTTAATTTAAAGCCAGGCACTCAAGTATGAATGAATCAAAAAGATAAAAGGTTCTAAACATGAATCTCGGTCCTAAGGGCGCAAAATATGACGGGTCATGTCCTCTCGTGCTAGAGTATGCTATTTGTACGAGAAATGCTTGTAGATGAAAGCTAAACTTCCAGTTCATGCCACAAAAATTTCTTCAGTTGTTACTGCAAGTGAAAAAGAGACCATAGTGAATCAAATCTCTCATGTTGTTTACAGAATAGGTTGTTGGGTCACTTTAGACATGGAGGGAACCCTCTCCAACCTCTTTTTGTCCCACATTATATAGAAAATTATAGCAACGGATTGCTTTTACTCCTTTCTCATCCTCACTTGTCCAGCTCAGAAAGTAACACATCCATGTCCAATAGAAGACAAAATTCATGCTCTGACAATTAACAGGGTGCTGACATATTAAATACAATACATAACATGGGAGAACGCAAAGTGGGGTCCAACACGAAGACTTCCATTCACATCCAAGTACTACTATTGCTCTAGCAAGCTTAGATTCAGAGTTCTAATGGGATTCAGTTCAAAGAATACTTCATAAAAGACACTACATTGACACCAGTTCGACAAAAAACGTATCCTCCCAATTTTTTCCTAACACATCCTGTCATATGAAATGATGTCCTCAGGAGACCTCAACACTAACATTCATCATCTATTTTTCCAACAATTTCTCATTGAGCACTCCTTAACTAATGCCAAAAGATTTTGGTAGAAGTGAATTCAGAAATCAGAAGGCAAAGCCAATTTTATTTGGGACACGGATCACTGCAATACATGGAATAGTAACTGTTTTGTGGTGAGACATCATGCCAGTCCAATGCAAGGAGTTTCAAAACTGAAAGAGTCAAAGGGGCGCATAAACATTGCTTATATTAGACAATGTTTTCTTTCAGGTTATCAATGTTTCCGTCTGAAGCAAAAGCCAAACCATAACCTCATCACCTTGCTTTGAAGTACAAACACACCACTTTCTCCCCATACTCCACCAACATAACCACATTAACTTGCTTTGATGGATTAACACACCACTTCAACCTTTTACTTCCTCCCTAGAGCACATGAATCAAAGATTTCCTGCATCCGCAATGTGTCTTCCCAAATCATTTTTATTTTTTGGAGCAAAGAACCTAGGTTTGATTGCCCAGGCATTTGTTTATGTTAGCCTAGGGGAATTAAACTTAATCTAGAAAGGTTTGACTCCTCAACCTATCCCCTTACTCTCTATTCTTCCTTTCTTTATGCTTTTTGCTTACTTTGTCTTTCTTAATTTTCACTTGGTTAAACTCTGTTTTTTTCCCTTCAAGATTATCCGCCGGCAATTGCAAATATCAAATACATACAAAATCAGGAAGCATCATGTAAAAAGCCCAAACCGCAGCCATGATGTGAAATCTCAAAATTTTCAGACCTTCTGAAATCAACAGAACTTATCAACTGATGTATGAGACAGCAAGAAAAAATAAAGATCAAGAAAGTACGCAATAAGCTCTTTAGTTGTCACTCTTGTCAGATCCATCCCTTCATGTGTTTTTGGATCATTTTCATCATAATTTTGGACATATATGAAGAACTTGCGAGCACGGCGTTTTTCAAAAATGCCCATGAGAGGAGATTTAAGGGCTTCCATGTCAGTTGCCGGCACCTTGTGAACCTATTCAATTAAGTTGACAACAACTTCAGATGAGCTATGAATAAGAAAGCCAAACAGGGAAAAAAAAACCTTTTAACAGGAAAGCGGACGCGGGCCCTCTCATCTCATAAACTTAACATACCCTTGCTTTATTAAAAACAAAGCTGCCATCCACGGCTTTAAAGTACAAATATTTTGTAACATCAGTGTGTATGAGGACTCGTACTAGAGCACCATTTGCCATGATAAACTAAGAAAACAAAACCAATATCAGTTAGAATAATACAAAGTTGAGAAGGAATAAAATGAGAATGGTGGTCAGTCAAACAACATGCAATAAGTGCAGAAGATAAAAACCTTTGGGATCATGTCCACATTATAATCCCTACTAGAGCCCAAATGAGCCGGAGGCTTATCAGTTCCTCTAAATCTCTGCCAGAGCTGTAAATTAAAGATTTCATCAAAATAATTGGAATGTTCAAATGAAACGGCAATATATACAACTTATGCCGCGCAAAACTTAAAATATTGATATAAACCTGAATGAGATTGAGTGAAGTTGACTCTCCTCCATAATAGTCATTCCTATCCATGTGCAGTACCTAATTCGCACTATGCAGAATATTAATAACTCCACTATTTAAGCAAAAGGAGACAAGACTGTTCATGAATTGTCCTCAATATTCCTACTTTATTTTTAGGATAATATAAAACAAAAGAAACGCATTTAACAAATATAGCACACCGCTTCACTGTGATTTAAATTCATAAGTATCACAGATTCATACTTATTCAGCTAAACCACATGGAAATGCTAAAATTCTACTACTAATGCTTTGTTTGGTGGGATGGAAAAATAAAAGGATAGAAACTTGGAAAAGTGGATGTATTAAATTTCTTTCCAACTCATCAAAATCTATCCCTCCAAAAATTGGGAGGAATAATGGAAGGAAAGTTAATTATATGTGTTAAAATGCGTGATGTTTCCCTTTATATCCTTTAATATATGCACTTATAATATTTATCTATTATATATTAAGTACATATTAATTTTATATATAAATATAATGGTAACATATGTATCTATACTTTTTCCATCCTTCCCACTTTTAAATCCTACCAAACACAAAAAAATCAATCATTTCTACTTTCTATTCCTCCTACCAAACACAAAGGCGAAAAAGAATGATTTTTTCTTTGAAGGATAGAAAGTGTATCACTCTCATTTTCCATACTTCCATTTCTTCATCCGTTCTACCAAACAAACAATAAGTTTCTTACAGTATTCCACCCACTCATATGATGTGATATTCATAAAGTCCTGCCCAATAGTCAGTATGTACTCCTCTAATTGACAACTTTTTTAAAGCCTTAACGTTATAGAAATCATAAATAAAAAAAGAAAACTACATAGTTACCAAATTGAAATTCGTATCGGGAATCAAAATTCTAAATTTGAGATTTGAAAATTGTATCGAATCTGAAATCATAAGATTCAACACAAAATTCGAACAATGACAAAAAATGACATGTACATATTTTTTTATTTTTTTAGTCATAACATGTACATATTTAAAATAGGCAATATAGTAAATATTGTTGCATTTTAAATATAATCAATTGAAAGTATTGGCATGATCACGTCATCTAAATGAAAAGATGCTAGCTTTTATAAATCTTCGTAAAGCTACAATTGAGTTTGTACCTCGGTTACTTTTTTATTGAAAAATAAATTGTTTCTTCAAAAATGGCCACGATGAAAGATGCATGATTTTTAATCAACAAATAGTTATTGTCTTCCTATCAATGAAGTTAAACTAAAATAGGAAAAGTCCATATTGGTTCGAATATGTAATTTTAGAAAATCACTTCCCACATTCAATTGAAAAATAATTTTTTAATGAAAAACAAAAAAAAAAAAATTATTGAATAAAAAAAAATAGAGTTTGTTAGAGTTTGGTAGCTATTTTCAAAGAAGAAGCATACTTGGAATGAAAGAGATATCGTCTCTGTGTGATGTTAATAGACGCTTGAACAGTCGCTAGAGAGATAGAGAAACACACAAGTTTTATATTTGGGGGTGGGCCTCTTCCGGCAAAATGACAGTGTTTTACTAGAAATAGGGTTGAAAAATAATAATAAAACAAATCATGTGATTCCTTCTATTTGAATCGAATCGTACGATTCTTGTAATTCATGTGCAATTCTCGACTAAGAACGATTCTATAATAAGATACGAATCGAATGGAGACTAAATCAAATTGAATTGAATCATACGAATCGAATCACGAATCGTACAATTTTTATAACAATTAGAAAAGGCTAAAGTAATACATTACTCAAGTACGTCTTTCACTTCACACATAGGTAGAACTATATGGGTAGTGTGATATTCGCACTTTATATCATACAAAATGCCCCAACTTTTCATTAATATTTTGAGAATTTTAGCAATTCATATAGCATATCTAATATGTTTTCAATTAGTATATCTCACAATATCCTACTATGCACACATTTTTAATATATTTTTATGTAATATTAGAAGTAATTATTAGAAAGTTATTTTAATAAGTAGATTAGTGATAAAGCATTTTATGAATAGCTTTCTAGGCGGTCACTAAGATAATTGAGTAATGAGTTAAATTAGTTATTAAGATATTTTTTATCATCTTGCATTTAAAGGTCTTTCAATCAATGAAATGGATATGTCCAATATTGCGATAAACCTTTTTATGAAGTTTTGAAGATTCGGTTCTTCTCGAATTGAACCATTTGAGGTTTCTATCCCTTTCAAAGTGGGTTTTCTATCACAAATTCTATTTTTCTTTTATTTTCTATTTTCCAACAAGTGTGCACGTAACAATTGGTATTAGAGCAAGGCATGGTGGACCAAGTTAGTCAATTTGAAGCGAATGTTCACTCATTAATTATCGGACAAGAGAGAATGATAAAAAAGATGCATAAATTGTTTCTCACCATGAATACCAGTTTTGATCAACCAAGAACATTACCATGAGCAAGGTGAAAGGTCAACCTAAAGAAATGGTGGAGGTATGAAAAATGGTCAAACATGTGCTATATCAGGTGGATCAAGCTTGATAAATCCCTAAACTACCAAGTTGGATTTTTCACACTACAGTGGTAAGGAATACCTCACCATTTTAGTTTGTCCAACCAAAGAATTATGTGAACTCCCACACACTGCCATTGTAGGTAAGATCCTAACAAATACTTGCCACCTAGAGGAAGGGTTACATGTGGCATAGATCATGGAACCTTACCAAGTTGAAGCAGGTGAACTTGGTTGAAGATTATTTTACCCGTTGTCCAAGATTGCTTGCACTGTACCGCAATGTACCTCAACGACCGAACCGGTGTTTTCTAAGTGGACTCAAGGATGTTAATACAAGAGTCATTGCCAGGGCATCTATGGCACGCTGAGGGATCTTATACACTATCGTGGGTCTTTTTGAAGTCTATGAAGACAAATATCTTGTTGATTGTTACAAGGACAAGGAAATGGGTTGGCCACCTCCTTTTGTATATATGAATTAAACTTTATGAGCAAAGTTCGTTTTGAACGGGAATGGAATTTTATGTAAACATTTTTACTACATTTTTATGTAATATTAGAAGTAATTATCAGGAAGTTATTTTAGTAAGTGGGTTTGTGATAGAATATTTTTTGGGTAGTTTTCTAAGTAGTCATTAAGATAGTAGAATAATGAGTCAGGTAAGTTATTAAAGTAATTTTTATCATCTTGTATTTAAAAATTTTTCTATCAATGAAATGGATATGTTGAATATTGTGATAAATTTTCTTGTGAAATTTTAAAAATTTGATTCTTCTCAAATTGGACCATCAGAGGTTTCTACCCCCTCAAAGTGGGTTTTATGTCCTCAATTCTATTTTTTGTTTATTTTCTATCATCCAGAAAATGTGCACATAACACATTCTCACAAAATATCATAAATTATGATTTAAGCATCAAAATAGAGTGTTGCATTAGGTAGATAAGGTATATATGAATCCAGGCATGATCACATACTAAGATATTTATCACAACTTCTTTCTGGTTCACACTGACCAAGGTGCTTTGATTTAGGTTCTAAACACAAGACAATGTGACTTCACGGGGGCAACCAACATTGCGGAGTTCACTTATCAAACGAGGAGAGAGGAATTTGACTCACTAATAATAATTAAATTTACCAGGAATTACTTCACATCTTACACTTCTGCCTTCGATTTGATTCTTTCTTATTGATAAGGTAAAGGAAAAAAGAATTGCTTATCTTTGTTTTCCCTTCATTCTCTCCAAACCAAGTAATGATCCAAACAGAGGCTAAAAGATATGGAACCTATTCTTATGTCAAAGATTATATACACATATATACGAGTGTGGGGAGATATATTAATATATAGACAAAATAATCTACCATTCTTTGTCCAATTAATCGTTTAAAGGAATTTCTTTTCTGACCCATGCATTTCAGTGACGGTCACCAGACTAATGATTTTTGGTAAAGTCAATTTTATCTCGAAAATAGCAGAGAAAATGCTGCTGGTTCTCATTGCAACACACAAACAGGGTAGCAATTTCAAAAGGAAAAGGAACTAATTCTAGTAAATCAATTTTGACTGAAAATTGAAAAGACCACACTAATTTCAACTCTTAATATCACAATCGCGAGAGAACAAGTAGCAGAGCAGTAAACGATTTAGAAATTCAAACCAGAAAAAATGGAATTTTGTCATCCAACGACGAATTGATCAACGTCAAAATCAAGATAGGACCCAACACAAATTTCAAACTGAAATCGAGAATCATGATTATGTTGGGGATTCGGGGGATCTAAGTTCAAATAAGTACTCAGCATATCCGTTGGATAGCAGACGTACATATAGTAAGAACGACCTGTCCCGATTTCGAATCTATGAGCATTAAGTTTGAGACCTGAATTCGGTACATTAATAAACGGGAGGAATTGTGGGATTCAGGGCCTGACTTGTGATAAAACATTAAGAGTTGATATATAAAATGGTAAATAGTGAGAAAAAGTAGAAGACAAGAGAAATAGGAAAGGGAAAGGACCTTGAGGCCGTCGACGGAGAGAAGACCGCTGAGGATGCATTCTTTGAGACCCGTCCCCAGTACTATGACATCGTACTCTTCATCCATGTTGCTTGTTCAACCGCAGACTTGATGAAATGGATCAACAGCTGGGAAGAAATGAATCCGAGAGAGTTACAAATAAAAAGAGAGTTTAGATGCTTTGTGTGTCCACTGAGAAAAGATGAACAGAGAGTTACCTTTGGCAAAACGTGACATTTGGGATTGTATTTGACGCAAGGATGATTCCCATGCCCTACCCCCTCCCCAACCCACCTCCAACTAATGCCTTGTTTTGTGGTTTCTTAAATGGAGAATCTCACTTCACGCCCCCAAAAAAATTTAAAAAATTTATTGTATATTTTCAAACATTAGATTTTTCATATTATACTATCTAGTATTAAAAATATTATGATGTGATCTTTCTTTAATTTTGTACTTATTTCGTCAAAAATCAATCCGTTGACATTAAAGAGTAGAGTAAC